ACAGAAGTTCAGTTAGGCTTTCTGGGTTTTGGTTTTAGTCTGGCTTTATTCTGTAATTATCGATTAACGGAAAAAGGAGGGGGTGGAAGGGGGGGGGGGTAAGAATCATCAAATTCAACCCCCAGATCATGTCCATACGGATCTATCGTATTTCGCATGCAAACAAAAGATCTGACTCGCAATGCGTTGTAGCTCTCGGGTAGGTTTCATCAAGCTGGAACCGATCGTGACTTTGAATACTAACCATGTTTGATTTTGGAGGATTTAATCCAATAAAGCCACCGTGGTATAAATTTTTTATTCACGTCTACGGCTTTGAGGTTAGGCACTCGCTGTTGTGCGCAGAAGACCCGAGTTCGATTCTTGAATGGGGAGACATTTTTATCAAGTATCTCCATCTTTTTGCTGGGACTTGTATTCCGTCCAGTCCGGGTTAGCCCTGACAGGCAGATTTGTAACCTCCGCCTCTTTACTGATCTATATACTGATTATTGTGTCAATGGAAGAGTAAAACACCTACATATGAATTTAATCTTTAAAATTTTATGGTAGCTTTTACCCCCTTATGAAGGAAAATCTGGCCTCTCTTAGCTGTGTTAAACAACATTACTTAGGTATTTGTTGAAATGTCCGCAAAGTACACTGAGTTTAAGGGTGTCGTTTTGTTTTTGCTGTTACTTTGTAATCTCAACTCACAGTGTTGTTAAGTGTCCAAGCCACTTGAGTTCATCACGGGAAACGCAACATACATCTGAGATGAGATTCTTTGATGGTAGTGTACATTGTGATTCAGAATATATTATTTTCTTCTCCTGAACCTCTTGAATTTATCAGTCGGTATCTCTTCAAGTGGGCTCGAAATATAGCCTGTAACCTATAGATAGTCAATCGTTCGGACAACATGTAAGCCGACAACTCTAGCTCAAGCGGTCCCACTCATAGGGCAAATCCTCCTTAGTGAAGATCTGGCGTATCCCTGCTATAGTTACACTTTATCTAATATAATATACAGTTATAATATACAGTTACCCTCGGGGGTGTCCTCGAAAATTGTAGTTACCGATTCCTCATAGTGAATTCCCTTCTGAGTAACCAGCTAGAAGCTATAGGATGTTTGGCTGCTAGGAAAACAATAGTGAACCTATCTCTCATAGATGTCTCTACAAGCTCAGCACGCCTTCTTACAAGAGGTATGTGATACACAACACATGCGTTCGTAGTTTTCTTTCCATGAATTCATGATGTTCATTAATATCATCAATATTACATTAAACGATGCTTTAAAGGAGCATTGAGTTCCATAATGACCTGTCGGCAAAACACAAGTAAAGTGATTAAAAATGACAGATGAAAAGTCCAAAGATAATTAGAAAGATCTAATTTTTCTCCGATATTCGGCACTTGACTGTCTTTTTGGTGGGAAATAAGCTTAACAAGAGAAGCAAAATCGCGCTTTTGATGTTCTTGTGTCTTTATTTTTCTTATTATAGCAGCCAGAGTTTTTAAGATGGAAAGAAGATTACGGGCTTGGGGTTGCATGAGAGACTCTCGCTTTTTAATTGAAAGGTACAATGTCACTCCTCCGAGGAAAATTGTGAAATATGTTTGTGCTCCTTTTCGACTTAGGAATAGTACTAAAGGGTACACACAGTCTGGCTACACTGCGTAAGTCACTTTAGTCAATTTATGCCCAGGACGTACTTTTAGCATAATATTGTTCTGCATCGGTTCCTCACAATTTCGCTTCCCCCCCGGCTAAATGAAGTGGAACTCAACCAACTGGAATAAGACACCCTTCAATGTAACGGATGGCTTATCATTATACACGGCGCATTAGATGAAATTTGATTATCTCGTTTCTTATTCCACCGCAGATATTTTATTTCATTCTGACAGAGTGCGCAAAACCCCCATAACGTTACTTCGTCTGTATAGCGTGACGTCAAACCAAGAACGGCAAATACAATGTTTCTTAAAAGGATCGCAAAAATATGCCTGTCAGTGAATAGATGACTTTACTGGTCCAAAGACGTTCTGTCAGAAACGGGCATTAGTGCGTAGATCCATGGTGAAATATCACGTAAACATCGACGGATAAATCGATAAGTGCAAGTTTGGTTAATTTTGTCTGTTCTCCTTCCACGCTCAAAACTTTTATATTTTTAAAATACTGTTTCGCGACAGCTCACTAGGAGACCCTCTTTTGACTTGGAACTCCTTCAGTTTAGACACATTTATTATTCAACAAATCTCATCGATTATTTCTTTTGAAAATCTTTGTCAATGTAGGAAATGATCACCTCAACCCTTTCCCATCCCAGCAAGGGCACATGAAAAAAACTGCTGAAAAAAAAACAACCAATAAGGAAAAACAAAGCACCCCCCCAAAAAACCCCCCAAACAAACAAACAAACAAGCAAAACAACAAACAAATAAACAATTCGAGCTCAAAACATAAAAAAGTGAAAGCTATAATAACATCCCCGAAATGAATAGAACTACAACTTCTTGCCCGCTTTCTCAAATAGAAAACAGAGAAACAATTTTTTTAAATGCATACTGATAAACGGATAATGGATACAAGATGTCACATCAGATATGCATTTCTGAGACGACATGTAGGCATTTATCATATATAAAAATTCTATAGAAATATTCGTATATGTGCATAGATCAGTAATCAACAGTAATAATCATAATGCTCACTTCAGAAGCAGCCTCATCGCAAATGGCAGGCAACTTCTTTGTATATTCCTTTATTTGTTCTTGGTGGCGTAAAATGTATCTCAAAACGTACAAACCTTGTCACCACAGAGCAGCCCTTCTTGTGTCGAAAAAAGGAAAATAGAATCAATCTCGACAGTCTTTTGGCATCTTACTTGTCAAATCAGACATTAGGCTGCAAATTCCATGGCAAAATAATGTCAACGTTGTTCAAAAAATCGATTGGCTTAAGAGAAACTTTCCGTGCTTTTGTTTCTCAACAATCTATGTTTATTGTTTGCCTGGCAGCCTCTGACATTCATTTTCATCTGGTCCGTCGTCTCTAACAGCGTCCTGTTCCCGATTTGGACAGCTACAGTTTCAATGCATTATTCATTAGAGCTGTCAGGTCCTAGTCGGTTCGGTGGAAATTATAGTCATATTATTTGTACTGTGGCAGGATTTGAAGAAGCAAGTGAGTACTGGGGGAATAACATCACATTGTTATGTTACAATTCTTAGTTGGCCGTTCTGAAAATGAATTTTTAAAAAGGTGAAGTTTCTGAGACAGAACGACTCAAGACAAGAATTCACCCGAAAAACAAGTTGTTTTGCTAATGTTTCAGACCTTCTTGTCACTGATTGTGTTGTTTTACGAGCACACACACACACACACACACGCGCACACACGCACACACACACGCACACACACACACACACACACACACACACTCTCACACACGCAAACACACACAAATACACATTCACGCAAACACACACACATACACGTACACTCAAGCGTGCAGATACATACATAAACATACTACACCCGATTGATTTATTTCCATTAGGCAAAAAAAAAAAAGATGATGACCTCGCTAGGATCTAAATCTTGAGCTTTTACGTCTTGGCTTTGACCGACTGAGCAACAGCAGAAGTTCCAATAATCCAGAGGAAAAGCAAACCACCATTAAGACCCCGCATGGGTGAGATCGCGCGGGGCTGTCTCGTTGCATAAGTCACTGGTCTGTTACAGCAAATATCGAGTAGCGATAATTGAATTACCCCAGCCATCCTCAAACTGATAAGTGGATTAGGCATCGACCCTACGGAGGGAAAGTGCAGCCATAGCAAAGAGCGGCAGGTCACGCCTTGCAATTGAGTGTGCGGACACGGCGAAAGATCTAATTGTCGTGAAAAGTCATAAATCATGTAAACGCACAGACGCATGTGATTGGCGACTTCATGGAGCTAAAGCGCCCGCTGGGGGTGTTTGAGGGTAGATTATGAAGCCATAATGACATTTCCGGAGTCGATCTAAGCAGCACTCAAGGCTGTGACGCGGTACACCATCGGGGTCAATGCTTTATGTAAGAGACAGAAGTGCTAAGGGTGGAAGTGAAGCTGCGCTGATTTATGAGTTGACCGAGAAACGTGTTAGATTCAGGTTTGGATATGTTACAATAAATTCCATTTCATATTCTGTTTTTAAAAATTAAATAGACTACAAAAAACAAAACAAGAACAAAAAACAAAACAAACAAACAGACAAAAAAACCGACAACATCAAAACCAAAACAAACAAAACAGAGAGAGCCCATACAACGGTAATGCCTCCATCACGCGCTCCCAAAGTCTCCTCGAGTTCACACTACTTGAGTTACAATGAGGGCAAATAGATGCAAAGGAATCTTTGATACATAAACACTGCCAACACAGCATTTCCGATCCACAGCCTGTTTGTTTGACACCCAATGGTATGGGTAATCAGTCAACTTGTATATTACTGGACACATTTTAAAATACGGCGCTTAGTTCAACTGCGGAGTTGGAACTTTCACTGTTTTGTAATACGAAATCAGTTTGTGAATATTGACATTGTGAGATATCGCGCCCCAGAAGCCAGTCAAAATTCTTTCTTTAATAAGTACCGGCATCAAATAAACATCTTGACTTCACTTAGACGACGTATTTATACCATCTGACATAAAACTAGGCTTATGGCAGTTTGATTTTAATATGCCAGTCAAAATCCACCTTTGCTCTAGCTTGCTTTGCCTTACTGCAGCTTGGAAACAGTCACTGCCGATTTTGTTGAATTGAAGTATACGGACAGAGTTCACATTATCTGGGGTTGGGGGGAGGGTGGTGGTCAATCTTTAAAAAAAAATGAAAATGTGTTTATTTTGCATGCTGTTTTACTTCTCAATTTATAATTTCTGTAAATATTTTTAAGATAATAAGCGTGTACTTTTCAATGATGTACTTCATTCAACTCTTTCTTTTTTTTCTTCCAGACTTACATCTGTGATATCACTGCCTACTATGCCCCCCAAGTTCAAAGGAACCTAATCTGAAAACAAAAACTGACGACTTAATAGAAGCCCCTGACCAGCAAGAAGGGAGTTGGTATCTCAGACTGTAAACACGAGTACTAATGCATTCTTGCTAACCGGACACAGCACTTATTGTGTGAGGCACTGAAGGGTCAACTATGACGTTCCACCCAAGACCTTATCCTTAAGACTTTCTTAGTGTTGAGTTGAGCCAAGAAAAACGACTCGGTCGAAGTTTGCACAGACCTCGTCCTTCCTTTTTTAGCTTCGAAAGAAGCAGGAGAGGTGAGTCAATTTTTGGATTTGGGGTCAGATGTTTGTGAGCAGTGCATTTGTTTTGTTTCTGTTCTTGTTTGCCGTTGTCTTACATTACTGATTGTCATGAAATTACTAGAGTTGACATGGACCATATTGAGGGTAATGTAAAAATTATATTGTTGCTTGGATCGGAAATATTGAAACTTATAAAGACGATCGTTAACAAATACATCATCATTAGTTCCTTATCAATGGTTGCCTTAGGATAGTCATAGAAATCCACTGGGTGGACACCATTATTATCAGGGCGTACCAAACTAGCAATTGACCTTGAGATCAAGAAGGATGGCCCAGAACAAAGAAAGATGGAGAACTCTTCTTGGCGGCCTATACCCAGTGCCACGGTGAAAGTGGCGGATGATGTTCTGCGTATTCAGAAAATGAACCATGCTTCTTTAGAAAAAGAGAACGAGCCTAATTATAGTTTGAATTCCTTCTCAAGTTGTGTGTTTCCTCTGTGCACCTTCAACCTCCTCCTTCACTCTTTCCATCTCTATTATTAAAACTTCAAGACTAACACAGTGTTTCTCCCGGTTCGTCTATTAATCCAGTGATAAAGTGGAAAAAAGGAGAAAGGCAACAAAAAAAAGGCAAAAGAATAAGACGATGCTTTTTGATTCCTTATTCAAAATGAAAGTGTGGTCTTCTTCGAAGTCCGGAGGTTATGATTATCGTATGACCGGGCTATTTGGTGGCGTCGAAGGGACACGCGGAACAGTTTTGACTTAGACAATATACATGATATGGCTGATGGGAAAACTCCTTAAGTTCATCTGCCAAGCTCCCTGATGCATATTGGTAGAGCCCCCCCCCCCCACCGCAACCACTACCACAGTAACAGCAACAACAATTAATGGCAACTTGTTTGCGAGGTTTGATTGGCCCTTACCCTTCCCCTAGCTTTGTGATCGATCGTGAGGACAATATTGTGTCTGTATTAAGAGATAGAAGAAAGAAATCTATTGAACTTTCCAGAAAGTTGTTTAACAATACCACAAATTTCTTTATGAATACCATAATGGAGTAACATTAAACCCTTATATTTTGTTTATGTGTCTTTCTGAAGGACAAATCCCAGAGGCCATTGATATGAAATACATCTCGCTGACAGTACTTGATATTTAACGAGAATGTGTGTTGACAAACTACTTGAGGAGTGCAGGCCCTGGTTTAAATGAGTATGACGCTATTTTTTTTTATTACCCTCTGGTTGCCTCATACCTTTATACGAAACGCAGTTTATGAGTCAAAAGTCACAAAATTCTCTGCATTACATAGAAAAGAAACTACTTTCTTTAAACCTAACACTCATTTAATCTTAACGTGCTGATCTAGGCATCCCTCTCAACCTAAAATTCTTCGATCCTCCCAAAATCGTTTATCTTCTATTCGTTCTGATTTGAAGTGTTTTCCCTCAGAGCGATTTGTCTCTGTTTGAGAAAACATGTTTTAAAGGAAATGGGTATGGAGTTTGGATTGGGACAGGAGAAGAGAGCGAAATGTGAGAATCATTTTCGAGAAGGCATTATAACGTGCTGGTTCGGGTCGCAGAGGAAAGCAAACATGGTGACAGAGCAAACAGAAATGGCAGAAATAAAATCTATCCAAATAGAATATAAAAAGGAAGGGGATCATGGGATCGAGGATTTGGGTGGGGGGGGGGATGAGGTAGTCGGATATTGCGTTTGAGTTATTGGTTTCAAGGTTTATTATTGTCCGATGGACGCAGTTTCAAACATTTGAGGTCCAAAATATGAGCACGTTTTGCGTTCATGTAAACTCGTTTCGGGTCCAAAAAGATGTTCATGGTCGCTCTAATCTGGAAACTGCGTGCAAGATTTCAATCGGGGTTCAGCAATCAGACTCGCTTGCCGTAGTACAAAGTTTTGCCCCTGGGCCCATCAGTTGACTGCTGTTGAGATCCAAGATTCTTTTGGTTCTTGAATACTCACAGATAACTTCTCATGAACGATCTCACCGTGATAAATACGTTTCTTGCGTCGAGGTATTTAAATGTAATGTTTCAAGTCTTGAAAGGTAGTAAATAGGAGGGTTTAAATTACAAACTGTTGAAATAGAGAGACATTGCTTTATTTGAGTACAGAGGACCTAACCAGGATGTTTACACTTCAGATGTCATTAGATTTTTTTTCACTAATGAGGCTCTGGCGTGCTGCCCCAGTAGCGGCAGTTGAAGACTTTTAAAGATGAACTTCCTTAATTAACTAGTTTCAATTTAGCTGCCTACAGCATATTGTCCTTCAGATTTGGACAATTCTTGGAGTACGTCTTCAAATAATTGGGTTTACATATATTTTGTCTACAGAAAGTATAACTACATGATTATTGAACCCGTTTGTCGCAATTGCATACGATTGTCATAATATGCAACCAGAACAATTATGATCACAACGCATTTTAGCATTTCTTTAATGATTAGAGGGATATCTACTCTCAGATGAGGACATAGAACCACACAAAAATATCGCGAAAATGTAAACGCTTTGGTATGCGAAGAACAGAAAGCCAACGATATAGGCTAATATATTGATTTGAATGTCTAATTCACGGAACTGTTGCAGCAGAGTTCTGTGATAAGAAGGAGAATGGGTTTATTTGTCATCGAAAGTCAGATTATTGGTGCAATGCACATTTTACAGCTCTCCTATACTTTCAGGTTACAAGCAACCAATTAGTTTTACTTCACAGTTTCTGGACCAGAACTGTATTTCCCTGCAATGTTGTATCATGATCCCAGTCTGACTCGCTGTGACGCTTCTACAACTATTTAGTTTTCCCCAGTCTGAGCGAATGTTGGTGTGAAAGAGGAAAGAGAAATAATGAATAATAGATGGCGACATTGCTACCGAAATCCCTCTATTTTCCCCCCCAATAGTTCGGTCATTTGTGGTCACACAAATTGACGAAATATACACATAATGCACGTGAATGGGGAAAAGACCTACTTCCAAAGCGTGTATGAGAACATACAAAAGCACTTACAGATTATTCTGTCCTTATTTTAGCACTTGCAGATTATACTGGATTCATTTGAATTGGGAAATGTACCTGTAGTGTGCATGCAAGGGAAAGAATAATAATGAATATTATTTCTTTTTTATTTTGTCTCTGTTGGAAAAGGTGATTGGCAACTTAAGATAGTAGTCTTTAATGATCCGGTGAAAATGTTGGATAATTATAATGATTGAGAATCATGAAGGTAAGGATGATTATAAGAATTAAGATATTAATGTTAGAAAGGGGGGGGGGCATGCTGGAGCTGCTGGTTATGATCTATCTTTCTATCAATCTGTACATGTGTCAGTGGTTCAAATTAAATTTTGTCTTCTCTTCGATGATAACGATGACGATGACGATGATGATGGCCAAGTCTCAACCTTTTTAATTATCTATTTACAATGATGATGATGATGATGATGATGATGATGATGATGATGATGCTGATGATGATGATGATGATGATGATGATGATGATGATGATGATGATGATGATGAGTATAATAAAATTTGTAATAGTTCTAAAGCGTCTTGAGCATGCTGTGGAGCATGGATATGCACTATAATATAGACTCACGTATTAATTTGATTATCAAGCTTGAATCATAAATTTATGAGGTCATAAGAAAGAAAATGAAAGGCTAAGGGCATGTTTTCTTGTTATCTACTTTCAAAAGACAGATTCATACGATTTTACTTTCTCTGTTACCTACCATCTTCTTAAAGGGCATACGTGACAATTTTTAAAAAATTTATAAATTGTATAAGGCAAATTAAAAAAGGGTAATTTTAGAACTCCACCCAAGTTTTGAGGTACCGGTAGTGTGTGGTTACAATCTAACGCTACTGCTCACACTCAACGACCCGACTAGGGGTAAGAGGAATAAAATGTCAAAGGGTAACTGAAGAAACGTTGGTGGAACTAGAGTGAAATTCAATGTCTTTTCATCGGTTCAAGTTCTCTTTGAAAAGGCCAGACCCTGGGCTGGTAGAAGAGAATATCACAGGCTCCATTATATTGCTGCGAGGATTCAAAGACTTGGTTCCAGCATGGGGTGACCTATTATTCTGTGAGAAACGATGATGACGCTAGAGGCTCTTTAAAGGGAAACCCTTTTTTTATTTACTGGGAGGGGATGGAGGGTATATTTAATTGGCCGACCGACTGTTGGAGTGGGTGAATGGAGGGTGGGTAGTTGGGGGGGGGGGAGTGGGTTTGCAGTCTGAAATTTTCCGTGAGAGCGTAGGTGGAACTATTGGTATCACCTCGTGGATCTTGTTTTGGTGTCTGTGGTGTTATTATTCTTGGCCTTGGGCGTAAAAGATATGAGCCCAGTTCACCCTTGAGGAAGATACAGTCGAACCTGGTCTAACGAACGACCACCTTTATAAGACAATCACCTGCACAAATAAATGGCCAATTCTCGTTTTCCCCCTTGTGTTTTTTAAACATCATAACACTACTGTAGAGGACAGTCACCTGTTTAAGACGGTCACTTTTCTCTTAAACAATGGGTTGTCGTCTTAGACAATTTTGACCGTATTTCATTGAACATCTCTGGCTTACAGTTAGAACGTTTTACCCCACACAACAAGTGTTGGGTCTTAAGATAAGGATCGAAGCAGCTCATCTTCTAGGTACTTCTGTAGTGTTAAATGTCTTCCTCTAATGCTTAACACATCCATAATCATTTTCAGGAACCTGGAGCCCGAAATGGTTGAACTGACAGCCATTATTTCCTTTGAGTCTTCTTTGTGACTCACGTTTGGAGTATAATCTCACAAAATACTGGGGAATTACTTACGTGGGGATAAGTAACATTGTCCAGTGCTTGTTCTTTCATGTCCGTTGGGAACGTCGGTTTGCAGGTAGTTGCAGGGCGCCACTGGTAGGTTCTCCTCCTTCACTTTCTCTTTGTTTCTGTCTGTCTGTCTGTCTTCATTTTTCC